TACCTCTATAAAATACTATCTACCATAATCTTCCAGTTTAAACAGATAAAAATTATACAAAGTATCTCTCTTCACCAATGAATATAATCTAATAATCTTTATATTTGTATTTAATATATGGATGTCTATAATAAAGGAAGTAAATAAGTAAATATATTCTCCGACTTACCTACACACAAGGTCTGGGAAGTCTTTAGTAAGGGTGAGGAGGAGGAACACAATGAACCATTCATCTTCTAAGTAGTCCCCTACAACTGTGATTCCAGCTATGTGAGGGCCAAGCACACCTATTAGGAATAAATATTAATTGTCAGCATTAAACTGTCAAAAAAAATTACAAGTCATTAAACATCTAATTTTCATTCACAATTGCAAATGTTTTATGGAACAACAAAGCTTAAAATCAATATATTTTTGCTCTACAATCATTTGCAAATTATGTAAAATCAATTATTTTATTTTAAACATAGCAATTACAAATATAAATGATTTTGTTCATATATTAACAATGCTGTTTGTATTTTTCACTATAGGTCTATACAATATCTTGCTGGCAAGATATTGCTTGGGTGTGCTTCAGTCAGTCTAACTCATTGCTTCTAGGTAACTATACCATCCACAGTATTTTGGGGGGAATTCTGTTAAAACAAAACTACCAAGGAGCCAATAAGTAGTTCTACATGACTTCACACGATTTCTTTTACTTGAGTTTTTAGGAATATGTTCTTTTACTAATGATACTAATATCTACGTTATCATTGTTATTGGCAACAAGATAATTATAATGCTACTAACAATATTATTAGAAACACAAAATCCTTGCTGAATAAGCACCTGTAAGAGTCATCTACATATAAATACAATCAATAAATTACAATCATAGTAGACATGGCATGTGTTTTTGCTATCTTGATATCTGTGGATTGATTACTGTATACAGCAACCCCAGTATTCCAGCTCATTATCTATATGCTTGCGTTTATTCCACTTCATACCACATAAAAATAAGCTGTATAGTTTTAATCTCAAAACTACCTTTTACCTTTTATACCATTAAGCACCATCTTATATAACTTTTAACTTCTAACTCTAGCAATTCTTCTATATGTTAACTGACAGTTGCTAGTCTTCTACTGGTATTCTTGCATGCCTCTGCTGACTTTACTTGGCATCCTAATCTCCAACTTTCAATACTACATTCCTAGCTTCTTTGTTACCAATTCCCTCACCAAAATAACTATAGAACATCCAGGCAAATAACAGTAAATAATGTAAACAAAATAAACACCTAGCATTTTGGAAATCACTAACAATTTCAATTACTGAACTAAATTGTCACTTTCATTATTCTGACCAGTACAAACATATCACTTACCTGAGGTTCCATCACATGCTGCTTCTTTCTTCACTTTCAGAGTAAATGATTCATTATTCCAGATGTACTGATGAGTATACACTGCAACATGAGCAAGTAGCTTGGCAGCCAAATTCTCTAGCGCTTCCAAATCTGTCATCAATGTTCCATCCTCCAAGTGGGGGAAAAGCCAGTATCGAATTGTCTCTTCATTGTCAGTGGGCATTTGGTTAAAAACACTACCACATGCCATCTTAAATCTGTAATAAAATATAGCTCATCTTAAAATAAGGTCCACAAAATATATATAAAAATCTATATTGTTGAGAACTGTACCTTTTTAGCAACACCTATATTTCTGCGTAATATTTCACGTAATCATAAGTTACAAACAATTTTTTTTTAACCTTCATCATAACAAGTAACACCTAAATCTTATTGGAAAATACAAATATATTCATGGTCCTTATTTCTTACCCTAACTTATAAAAAACAAGACATAAGAAGCAATTGTAAACACATGATTAATTTCATCCCACAAACTCCACAGCTTGGAAGGGCTAGGATAGCACTTTTTGAAAGGCTCTTGAGGAAAGGAGAGTGGAAGTCTTACTTAACTTCCAAACAAAACAGGATTCAAATCTAATTCACATGGGAAACATTACTGGTTCCCAGGTGTCTGTTGCTACTGAACCATGGCAACTCCCTACAATATATAATATACAAATGAAATATAACTGTAGCAAGTTACAGTAACTGTGTAGCAGACATTATCCCTAAATCAGACATGCTAGCTCTTTAGTTCAGTAACTTCTATAAGACTGCGATGCCAATCATCTTCAACAGACACAACTTTTAATGTCCAAGCAAGAGGTAAAGAGGGTTACTGTCAGGTCTCTATGTTTCTGTACTACATATTCAGGTCTAGCAGACATGTACACAATAAGTAGGGTAAACAGGCCGATGTGACCTTATATACCTAATCCATATGCAATCCAAAATAGATGTGGTGTGTCCAGTCAAGGAGAGAAAAAAAGTATCTCTGTAACAGCTGACACAAACCATGAAACACAGTCATTCACTCTACAGTGAGTACAAGTAGGCTAAAATGAAAAAAATTTCATTGCACAATGCCCGGTTCTCATAAAAAATAAAGAGCTGGGCTAGCTTACATTAAATTAGGTGTTGTATTGCCGCATGATGATTAAAATACTCTTATGCACCATATCAGCAGGAAAAGAGTAACATCATTTCTGATCTCCCCTTTTACAGGTTGTGGTCATGCTGGACCTATTCTTCCCATCATGACAGAGATCTATAACACAAGTTGTGATACAAGTGCATGAAACAAAGTGACCTTTTTTTTTACATAGCTTTTGCTAGGAAACTATTTTTCATCATTGTCATAAATAATTAAATAGGTTTATCAAAATTTACTTGCAGGATTTTATTTCTGATATGACCTTATAACTGTCAGATACTCACTAATTCATTAAATGAAACACACATAAATCTTATATGTTTCTTATCCCAGTTTTGGTGATGTATAATTACAACTCACAAAATGTAATAGAAGATTTATCTT